TTGATGTTGGTGGGGCAATGATTTGTTTATTTACTGCCTTTATTCATGTATTTTATTACCAATAATTTTGATCATGTTTTCTCACCCCTTGTTGTTGTTGTGGTCTGTGCTTCTTCGAAAGTACAGATAATCCAGGTGCATAGCTAGCTTGGATAGTGGTGTGCGGGTCGAGTCTTAGGATGCTCTGATACGTAACACGGGACTTGGGCGTTTACTTTTATTATGATTGGATTTGTTGTATTCCTGTGGCGTATCTTATTTTGATGAATTCTTTTAATGAATATTTTATGTAAATTGGCGGATGGCCCAGAGTGATGTATTAATGATTGTTTCCGCTGTATATTTTGAAAGTCATCTAATGAAGTGTTTTGTTGAAATTTTGTGAATGTGATATCCCACTTTTGGAAGGGAAACTCTAATATTTATTTGATTTAATCGCATTTTATTTTAATCTAGGAAAGTGGGGTGTTACATAAGGTCCTTACGAGTCCTACGCTCAATTATATAACTAAGCGTATTGAACAAAAATGAATACCCTTTGTCACATAGTTGGCTAATACTTAGAAAGTTGTGTTTAAGCCCTTTCACCAACAACATATTTTCAATGGTAATTATGGAGAGATTTCCCACAACACCTTCACTAAGAATTTTAACTTTAGTGTTGTCTCCATAGGTGACGTGATCATTTTCCTTCTCATTGAACTTAATGAACATGGAAGCATCTCCCTTCATGTATCTTGAACATCCACTATCTAGAAACCACAATCTTTTTGCGGAGGTAAGACATTCCTGTGACAAATCAATAAGGTAATTTAGGTCCCCTAACTAGTGGGTCATTTAGGGTTATTTGAGTTACATTTAGGTATCCATGTCATTTTACCATTGGGAACTTGAATGTTCCTAACATGAAAAAGAGGTCTAATGTGATCCTTATCTCCATAATAATGGCAAATAGCTTTAGATGAAACCCTCTTTCTATTTCTCCTAGTAAGATGAGGGTTTTTCTTAAAAATCATCCCTCTTTCACTTGAAGAACTAGAACAAGTATTAGATAGTGTGGTAACATGTGTCAAATGTCCTTTAAGAGTTTCAATTTTTTTTTAAATTGGACAATTAGCACATTCCACAACTTCTATTTTTCAACTAAAATATTTGAAACAATACAACGCTCTTCAACAAGAGATGTATGAACTTCCTTTAAACAATCTAAAGCACGATTAAGATTATTTTTCTCATGCTCAAGTGTATCAATAATTTCTTTCTGAAGATAAATTTTCTTAAACGCTTTGATGGAATCAACATACATGTCATTAAACGCACTAGATAATTCACCATAAGTATACTCAATTTCAGAATCAGAATTATATACCTTTGAAGTTCCACTTTTCTTTCGTGCCATTAAGCAAAAGTTGGCACACTCACCATTTGAACTCGAGCAAAAATTGGAGGAGGAGCTTTGTACCACTTCTTCCCGTGCGATGTAGACTCTACGGCCTTTGGAAGATTTTCCCTTTGTCTTGTAGAAAGCTTTGTCTTTGCTTATATGATGTTTGTTGAGATTTGGACATGTAGTTATATAATGTCTCAATTTTCCATATTCATAGCATGTGATCTCATAATCTTATTTCTTGTGATCCTTCTTTGGTGGACGAGTATTTCTGAAATTTACTAGACCTTTGTTGGCATGCTTGAGCTTGTTTCTCTTAAGATATTTATTGTAGTGTCTAATAAATAAACTCATTTCTTCCTTTTTGGAAGCTTCTTCGTTAGAATCCTCATTTCTTCCTTTGACTTCTTTACTTTTGAGGATGAAGCTTTCAAATAAAGATCTCGTTTCTCTTCATTCCCTTTCTATTTCTTCTTTGTTTTTACTTTGCTATCGACGAGTCATTTTGGCTCATTCTCATGTTCGGCTAATTTCGCAAACACTTTTGTAATATCCAAAGTATTAAGATCATTTTCTTCTTTAATCACGATGACTTTTGGTTGCCACTCCCTGCACATGGATCTCAATATTTTGTTAGTAAAATCATTGTTGGAAAAGGTTTTACCTAAGTCTAGCAGTTTGTTGATCAAATGGAAGAATCTATTTTGCATGGAATCCATAATTTCTCCAAATTCCATACAAAATAGTTCAAAATCCTCTGTAAACATATTGATATTAGAATCCTTAACGTCCTTCATACCCTCATAGATAGTTAGGAAAGCATCTCACATACCTTAAGCACTTGTATGATGTGAAATCGAATAGAACACTTTAGGGCTTAATACTGAAATAATGTTGTTTCTCACTTTCAAATCATATGAATCCTTTTTGGTTTCATCATCAGCCCAATCTTTAGATGTTTAACAACGTCATTATCGCCTTTGGGAATATATTATTCCCTGATGATGGCACACCACCAATTTTTATCGACCGATAACAAGTGTACATACATGTACAATTTTCGCCTTTGAAAATTGGTGCTCTATTATACACTCCCTTAGGATCATTATCATCCGACATATTCACAAATTTTTAGGATGTTGATTAGACACAATCAAATGACCAATCATTGTTATTTGACAAATATTTCCATGAGTTCATATAATCACCAATCCACAACTTACAACTGAGAAAATAAATCTCCTGATTTGGATCTTGACTTGTATCTAGTAATCTTACCAAACTCATCTATGTAATCTTTACTCAAATACGTTTCTTGAACCTTCCAATAACACAAATTCTACCCCAAACCTTTGTGTGTAGTCATCAACCCCTTGATCCTACCGATTCCTTGAGCATTGATATTGTCCAAAGATCCGAGAATAATTCTGCCTTATTTGTAGCCTTTAACTTAGTTATTACTAAGGTGATGCTAGAGAGAAGAACCTACTTCTTTTCAATGTAATTTGTCACTACAATTGACTATCCCTCTTTCTTGCTAACAACCTGAAAAATTCAACAAGATCTCTAAGAACGACTAGTTTCAAGTACGTACCTCCTTCAATCAATCTCAAAACTCTAATTAACAAGATCTGAACTTAATTGAAGTTGAAGATGTTAGAAATTTATAGCAAGACTTTGAACACTCAAAATAAAGGAAATTGATTTTCACACAAACTCACACAGAAAAATCCTAACTGAATGATGTATGTTATGTTTGAATGATGATGGAAAATGATTTATATGTGCTTGAGATGAAGCAGACAAAATGGTTAAAAAATATAGTTAGATTTGAATCTAGAAAAATATGATTTGAATCAGATAAGCAAAAATGAGGTGAAATGAAAGAAATACCCAAATTTTGAAAAATATGACACTTGATTTGAATCAAGGAATACGTGATTTGAATCACAAGCCTTCTGATTTGGATCAAGAACAAACTGTGATTAGAATTAAATTTCCCAGAGCTGGCAGGATTTTTAGACAAAATGATTTGATTCAGATCATGTTGAAAGTTTGATTTGATTCAAATCGAACAAAATTGAACATGATTTGTGAAAAATGGAATTGATTTGAATCATGACCAAATTTTTATTTGAACCAAATCAAACAAAAATATTTCCTAAGAAAATGATTAGAATCAAGTGAATACTTTCATCAGGATCAGATTCATGAGTTGAGTTACTGTCCAGTTTGATCAGAATCACGAATTTAGTGTAAAACTGTCTAATTCAAATTAATCTTGTAAAATATCAAATTTTTAAGTTTTCAAAAGCTTTTTGAGATTTTACCTTGAATCAAATATAGTTCAAAAACACAAGGGGAATTTATTCCACTATCATATGCTATTGATCAAAGAGCATTTAGATCAAGATCAAACCCAACAAAAATTTTATGCATGCTAAAAATGAGAAATACAATCATGAAAGAGACTCAACAGATTGAAATAAAATCACATATGAAAGCGATATGACAGGCAACAAACTTCCTAACTAAGATTAGAACATGCTTAGTCTCTCCCTAATATACCCTTCTAATAAAATTAAATTTACACTACAATTTGTCCTTTATAGTAATTGACTAATACATTTTTATTGGCCAATGAGAACATCTATTTTGTCCAAGTGGCGTAACTATTGCCACTATATTTCCAAATTTCAAACATTGCCACTATTTTCTCTCATCAGTACCTCTCTCTCTCTCTCTCTCTCTCTCTCTCTCTCTCTCTCTCTCTCTCTCTCTCTCTCTCTCTCTCTCTCTCATTTTCTCTCTTTTCCTTTCTCTTTGTCCATCAAAACCTAGTGCACTGCAGCCGAATCTATGTGAAATGTAAGACGAAGCGATCTCGCAAATGCAGCAACTCATGGCTCCGCAAATCTTCGTTTCTGATTCTATGGTATCATAGAAACTCATATTTCATTTCAATCTCTCTTTCACTCCTTTTCATTTTATTTATAGTTCACGGTGGCCACGGGTTTGTTAACAATTATTGTTTTTTTTGTCTCAGTTTTGATTTCAGGACCTATTCACATTTTGGGAATGACCAAGTCATTGTATCTTTCTCCTAAGGTCGGTTTCAGCTTTGACTTTTGCAGAAGAAATGATATACTTGAAAAGAAGGGTTTCAAACCCCCTACTTACTTGAAGAGTGGAAGCACTATTATTGGTTTTATTTTTCAATAATGGTTTTAATTTCTAACTTTTGTTTAATAATTTTAGGGCTTTGATTACTGTTGTGTTTGGCACTATTTATGTTGTAGGTTTCCGATCTACAGGTTTTTGTGGCCTCAGCAGGGTCTTCGTGTGATGGAACGGCTTCTCACTACATTGACGTGTTTGGAAATTAATGTCTTTTTATATTTTGTCTCTTGGTTTACCAAGAACTGCACTCTTTGTTTGTGTAAGTTGTGATGGATCATATTTATGGAACTGTTGATTTAGTTTACCAGATCATATGATAATTTCTTCAAGAAATTGAGGTTTTTTATCATTTATGGTCTTCTGATGTTAGTTAGATTATACTATTATGTTGCTCTTAATTGTGTAACAATAATTGGTGGCATGAACATTTGAAATGTACAGTGTGATTGTGGAAGCTTTGAAGATGGATAGTTTACAAAGACTGTACTCGTCTGTGGAAACTCTACTCAAAAAAATTGTGAGTTAAAATAAGCAATGATTTCATTATCTACAATGTATTTTTCTAATTTCGTGATCAACAGGTCAGTGAGGAGGTGGAGCGTGCTTTGGCGAAATTGGACCACGATAAACTGGATGATAGGTATGTTCCCTTAGTCAGATTAATATTCTGAAATTTTCAAAATTCATCATTGATATTATAGATTACATTTTATTTGTGTCAAGTCTTCACCGTCGGGGAAAAAGAATCTGCAACTTCATTTCAGAACAAGAATGTCACCATATTTGTTCATGGGAGGGAAGGTTGAGGGAGAGCAAGGAACGGTCATCTATGTTGTCTTTTGGCAACACTATCATTTCAAGCATCAGGTAAAACCAGCATAACTTGAATTCGTGTTCTGCTAAGTTGTATTAATATCATATATTTCATTGTGCAATATCTTATTTCATTATGATGAGTTTTTATGAAATCTTAGGACAATTCATGGAATGGTGCATGGCTGATGAATAGACACCAGATGATGAGTTATTTTTACAATTTCTCTTTTAATATCTAAAATATGTTACATGTTTTAAAATAAGTGATGGATAGATATTTGTCAGAGAGTTCTATACCAAAAGATGCAGCTTATCAGATAATAAATGATGAGTTCTATACCAAATCATATGTATTCCTATTAGCCTTAACCTATTTTCACTCTTTTTTTCCATTGTCTTTGTGACTTCCTTTAAGTGAAAAAAAAACGATGCAAGGTTGAAGATGATCAAATTAAATAGACACCAATGGCGTATGTGGTTATGAAAGCTGATTATGTTTTAACATTCAGATTTTGTCAAGGCTTTTACATGGATCTCTTAACTCAGCTATTTTAAATCGTCCAAAATAGGTAAACTGTTGTTTTCTTTAAGCATTGTGCTTTTTTGGTATTTAGGTTTTTGTTTCTGTTTGTAAAAATGTTACTTTTGTTTAGTTTGTATTCTTGTGATGTGAATACTTTAGAGTCTTAAAAAAATATTCATAACAGTTTGAGGTTAATAAACTTGTCAAAATACTCTTAAAAAATATGCCAGCTCTTAGCATTAAAGTCTCAAGAATTTTTTAATGTCAACTATTGCATTTTTCTTGGCTCAATGAACCTTCATTTTGACCTCCAACAACTTGCTTTCAAACTCTAATGTGAGGTAATTGTTATATACTTATCTCCTTCAACTGCAATGAACTTTCATTTTGATGTCCAACTGCCTAGTTTAATACTATTATAAGTTTTTGGAACTCTTGTTATTAAAGTGTGAATGATTTTATTCTGCCAACTGTTTGGCTTCTGTTGTTCTTATTTTTTTCTCATAAATTTGTATGTTCATGAGACTTTGATGTTAGTAAACTTTCCTTACTAATCTTACGACTATAAGGTTAATGTGTTTCTTGATATTTCCATATGTCAAAATTCTACAAATATGTCATGTTTGAAGTTTTCCAAATTCATATTTGTAGCAACTATTCATTTTTTCTTGGCTAAATACTCTAACTCTAATAACTATAACTATATAAACATAGCTTAAATGTACTATGTGTTTTGCTTCACTATCATGATGATTATTTGATGGTTGCTCTACCGCAGGAAACATGTTACATTAGTCATAATCTCCAGATTTCTATGATAAGGTAATACATCAAAAATACATTTATTAACATCAAGAACATGAATCAAAACTACATTTAAAAAAAAAAAGACCTTGCCTTTTTTGTTGATTTTAAAATTAGATGATGAAACATGTGACTAGATGGAGCCAACTACTCTACTTCTGCCATTTATGGTAATATACAATGGTATAGAATAACTGTAATAAAGAGAAATTAATTTTGAATGAATAGGTTTTATATTTAAGATTGTTTATGCATAAGTAATTTTGAGTTATTCAATGAACAAGTTTTATATTTGAGAATGTTTAGGGATAAATAATTTTGATTAATTCAATGTAACTTCTGGTATTTGGTGGACATACAAAAATAAAAACTCTTCACCACATGTGACAGTGTTAACAAATTTATTTGTGTTTACACACTCATATAAGGTAATTGACCAGTCTTTATTTATAATTTCAGATGCAAGTTTACTAGCACCAAATATGTCAACCTTGAAACTTTTTATTTCATTGGTCTTTGTTAGTTTGCTGCTGTTTTGGGGTAGGGTTTTTAGTCTGGGTTTTTTGCTGCTTTGTGGCCATTAGAAGTGTGCTTTGGAGTTGTTTCAAGTGAGTTTGCAGTAGTAGCTTGAGGCATTGTTTGTATTTTGTTTAGTAGGTGATTTGGTGAATTTGCAGTAGTGATTTTATTGAGGCTGTAATACCCTAATTTTTATCCTTAATATCCCACATATCATATGCATCTCATATCACAAACAGATCACAAGTTTTGCCTCTCTTGCTTTCCTTTGTGGGTTTGTTTTTTAGGGAGATCACCAGGCACCTGTGTATTTTTTTTTTTTTGCTTTTATTTGATTATTCATGTTTATTAACCCTAATCAAAATACCAAAAGTATATTTGTTTTTTTTCCTTTACTAACTCTTTTTTCAGGACGAGATACAACAAAAAGCCATTCTTCTCTTTTTTTTCACTGTGTTAATCGATTAACCAAAATATGCCTAAAATTGGTTAATCGATTAGCCACGTGCAGAATTGTGAAAAATGAGTCAAATTCAAATTATGCATCATTTTGGTACAAAAATTCACTTTCCAAGCCTAGAGTCGCACCTCGAAAAAATCAATCGAGAAAATACGAAAGGCGCGAAAACGGTTTGACAGAGTCGTCATCGAACTTTATTTATCCCAAAAGAGGGGAAGAAAAATATCGAGAAAACCTTTAAAGAGATAAGAACATAGTCATCGCAACCACATTCTGGGTTCGGGAGTTAGTTACGTAAGAGGAAGGTATTAGCATCCCTCACTTCTGTTGAACTCAACGGGAACCTCTTAGTTCAATTTGTGATGAGCGTTATCTAAGGTTGTTTGTTTTCTCCTCAATGATAAATGAGAAACGGTAAGATAAAAGGTCCGATGCTAAGGCGAAAATGGGTGGTCTTAAGATAGGGTGCTCGTCAAGGATTGGGACCCTTGTGCTTACGTATACTCATTCTAACGAGAATGAGGAATCAGAGCGCTCGTAGTTTGACTATGGGAAAGGTTTAGTGGGGCAAACAAAAGATGGAGGCAAGGTAGCTCGCCAAGATCATCGCAATCTTTTGCTTACGTATCTTACATTCGAATGAATGAAGAATCAGAGTGTTCGTAGTTCGTGGGTACTGTGAGGGAAATCCTCATAGGTGGCTACACTTGTTTTAATGATGTTAAAACTTAGATAGGTAGAAAAATGTACTTTGGACGGTATCATTATGTCACATATGCATATCTTATCCCTCTTGAGTCAAACATCGGTCAGAAACATTTTTAGATACATATAGAAAGTGTTCAATGTATGCTTCATATAGGTTTGGTCAAGTTTGTCTAGCTTACAATGTGATAGAGTACCTCAAAAGTTGCATGATACATGAAAATATGCATTTTTGCATATTTTAGGTCTTTGAGTCGACTCAAACCTGTTCCGGTCGACTCATACAGAAAGCATTTTGAATGGCCTACTCTCAGGAGTGCTCGCGTCGACCCTTCGGTCGACTCATACTGTGTCCATTTCTATTTGTCAAATCAGCATGCCTTGCGTCAATGCATGACCTGCTCCGGTCGACGCAAAGTTATGTTTTTTGCACAATCTGAAATTTGGGTAAGCTCAGGTCGACCCCCCTTTCTGCATAGTACGACCGCTCGCGTGTTTCAGTCAAAATTTTGTTATGAGAAACTATATTTGTGGTTGTTATGTTGGTTAATTGTTTTTGACTTGCATATATAGTGAGTTTTGCTTTTTCATCATAAAAATAATATGAAAAACAAGAAAAGTGAAAATAGATGCTAATTATTCTCATCATCTTCATCCTCTTCCTTGAATTTTCTCAACAACTACACATAATCATTTTTGTTGTGCATTCTGCTTGTTAGAGGTGATAACGTCCAAACATAGGATTGGTGTAATTGGGTTTGGGTTGAGAAATCAGTAGATTTTTCTTAAATAAAACCGTTAGGGTTTTGTCCTCCAAGAATCTTGGATTTGGGGGGTTTTTTGCACGAATCGGTCCATCACAGATTTAGCCGAGCGAAGGTAATCAAGAATGGGTTGTTCTGTTGGTTTAGTAGCGGTAACCAGAGGATTGTGAGAGGAAGATTCGGGTTCAAAGCGTTGGTGATTGAAATCATCCGGGAAAGATTTGAAGACCGTGGGGTTGTTCAAAGGGTGTGCCGTAACCGGAGGTTTATTATCGCGTTTGAAGGACTTGATTCATCTTGAATTAAGGAAAGAAAAGGAATAGGCTCTACATCAACAATTGTGTTTGATCGTTTGATTTCTATTGCTTCTCTTGTAAATATTTACCAACAGGTTATATCTATATATAGGTCTCAATTCTATTTTTAGAATTGAGGGAAGACGTACCCCGAGCGAGGACGACGGGGGAACTGCCTCAACAAACCAATGTTCTCTCTTTACTTTTAAATTACTTAATTTCTGAGTTTATGCGCAAACAATTGAATTAATCAAAATTCTGATGTGAGTAGTGTTGAACCATTTTTGAAGCCTATTACAATCTTTGATTGTAATTGAACACTTAAGCACCTCACTCTCATATTGGAATTCACTTGTGGTGCCTTGCACTCCAAGTGTTTGACTAATTGTGTGAACAACAAATGCTTGTGATGTCTTTTCAATTTGATTATATTTTTCAAGCATTGGAAATAGTCAAACCTTATAGTGAATAAATTTTGGTTGATGTATGTTCAAACTAGTGATTCTTAAATCTCATTTTTATCGGATTCCATAGGCTTTGCGCATATCCGGTTTATTCGGTAAATGTTCGTTTTAGACGAATATAGTTCCTCTGCCGCTTCCATATAAAAACATTTTAAAATTAAATATTGGTAGCGCCGACTCTGTTTTTAACAAGTGATCTATTCAACCCCCTTCTAGATCTGCGCCATCGTCTAACAGGTACGACCACTAAAAGAACGGGTTTGAGTTTTAGGGGATGAAATATTGAATGGCAAACAACCCAAGGGGCGTTCCTTGAGAGCAGTCACTCCAGAATCCAAGGATTGTGAGATCCCAAGAACTCAGTTCTTTCGTGATTGATTGCGAAAAATGTTCAATAAAGATTAACTATTTTAAGACAAAACATTGAATGAACAACAACCCAAGGCGTGTGCCTCAAGAACCATTCATTGGAAGATCCAAGGAATGCGAGACTCCAAGAATCTTCTTCTTACGTAAGTTGATTAAGAAAATCCACTAGACGTTGGATCAAGGGTTTGATTATATTTGCATGCGAGGAGGTTAATTGCGAGGCAAAAGGAACTCGACTTAGAAAGTTGATTTGAAAATGCCATTTGACGTTGGATCAAGGGT